TTTTTGCTCTTTGCGACGAAGAAGACGCAAAACCCAACTTAATTGAATTTTTATTCTCGCGTAGCACGGTATGTGTGCTTTGTGACACGAAAAGCAAAAGCTCACATTGCGTTCTCAGTTATAAGCTTGTTAATTCTTTATAACATCTATGAACAAAGAACCTATTTCCCAAGTATTCGTCCCCGTGATTAATACTTCAAATGAAAAGCTATTATCACAGGAAGAGTCATTCAACACATTCCAGAATTCAGGACCAACTAGCTACATATATACCAAATACTTTCTTGAACATTTATCAGATCTAAACGAAAGGAAATGAATGGAAAATATTTTATATATATATTTTTTTTTATGCAATACACTCCCTGGACAAAGGTTCGGTCCTCACAAATCAAATAATTCCGCAAAAAGTACATAATAACAACATACTAAATTGTAGCCAAAGTTTTCTATGCACGAAAAATTTAAAGTTGCTGTGTTGATGGCTAAACAAAATAAAAAATCTGACCAAAATATCTGCCAAAAAAATTTAATTGCTCAAAAACTTACATAATAACCACGCCTAAATTCTGGCATGTTATAAGAGAAAACTCGTTATATTCTTACGTTTTTTTGTTGTTTACTTTTTTTAAAAAAATTAACTTTTGCTAGAATTAAAAATTAAATTAAAAAAAAATTCCAAGTTAAAAAATTGAACGTAAACAAATAATTGGACTTTACAGAGGAGGTAATGCTATTTCACATATTTCTAAATCACTTGACTTTGCAAGAACAATTGTGGACAGAACAATGAAAATCTTTCAGGAAGGGTAGTGTTGAAAAGTGGATGTCCTAGACTTTTGGATGCGAATTAGTTGAAAAATTGTTAAAAAGAGAATCGTAAATCTACTGAACAAATAAAAGACCTGCTCAATTAATACATACAAATGATGCTGTCTGTAAATCAGATTTACAGAAGTTGTATCTAGCAACCAAGTTGTCATACTATTTGCAACCAAGTGCCAAAATCTGTAATTCTCTGTAATATGTAAATGTATCTGTAATTCTGTAA